ACTACCAAATCAGAATTGCATAAACAATTTGTATTTTGTGGAGAAAAATTAAAATGTGGATATTTGATTTGTGTGTTTTCTTTTTAATCACCAAGAGGGGGTGTAAACAACAAACTTATGTTATGGAAGAGTTGATGTGGGGTGATCTGTTAGGGCTATGTTAGCTGCTATAACAAATAGACCTCAAAATCCATAGTGACTTATTTTCATTTATTACGTAAGGTTTCTCTATAGTTACTCAGGGACCTGCTTTCCTTTAATCATGTATCTGTCATCTCTTAGGACAGCCTTTTTCTACCTGAATTCAATAAAGAAACAAGCCTAAGGAAAATGTTTTGGGTGGCTATTTTCACATTTATTGCATAGGCATAGGGCAGTGAGGCTTCATTTTCTCAGTTGGAACCTAATGTGACAAGGGCTGTCCTATGGCCTTGAGATTATTTACATTATGGTTTTGAGGTCACTATAAGATTACTCTAGTGTATTTTTACTGTGCTTTTCTATGTTTAGATATGTTTAAGTACACAAATATTTAGCATTGTGCCACAGTTGCATGCACTATTCAGTACAGTAACATGCTGTACAGGTCTGTAGGAGCAATAGGCTATCCCATATAGCCTGGGAATGTAGGAGGCTGACTATCTAGGTTTGTGTAAGTACAATCTTTGACACGTGCGCGATGACACTGCTTAATGATGGATTTCTCAGAATATATCCCTGTTGTTAAGTGAGGCATTACCTACATTTAAGCCAGTAGAAAAGGAAAAGAGAATAATACTTCCTAGCTGTGGTTCAAAAATAGCACACCATCATTTCTGCTCAGGATTCCATTGAGTAACAAGGCCACGCCTGCAGGGGAGGCCAGGAAATGTAATCCAGGTGTGTGCTTATGAGGAGAAAGCTGATAATTTGTACTAGTAGCTAGAAGTTCCTTCCCTAGGAATTAAAATTTTGCCCTAAGGTAGATTTCATAACTGGTTTAATGAGTAAAACTTTAGTCAGTTTTTACATCCTAATAGCATTCATAGGCAGTTTGGGGGAGAGTGGGACTTTCTCCTTGAGGTTAATATAAATTAACTATTGTTCTCTGCTATTTGGCCATATAGGACTGCCCTCTCCTCTATCCAAAACCTAAGCTTTATGGAGTTCTAATTGTTATGAGAATATGTCGTATAATACTTTTATTTACCATTTCTGACCTATAAGCTAAAGAGCTAACCAACATACACTGTATTTTCAATGATCTGAAAGTAGTAGTAAAGTATCATAAATTGGATCAAAGAAGGAAGCTGAGGTGCAGAGATTTAATTACTTGCCAAGGTTACAGAGTTAGTGGCAGAACTCAAGTCCCATCATTGAGTCTTTTTTCTTATGTGTATGTGTGTTTTAAAAAAATTTTTTTTTGGCTCGGTGTCTGTGGCTCAAGCGGCTATCGTGCCAGCCACATACACCTGAGCTGGCAGGTTTGACTCTAGCCCAGGTCCGCCAAACAACGAGGGCTGCGACCAAAAAATTACCAGGCATTGTGGCAGGTGCCTGTATTCCCAGCTACTTGGGAGGTG